TTTACATTTTCTTTTATTTTTTCCATTTTTGTAAATAAAATCAGTGAGTCTCTTAAAGACGCTTTTCCGACTGTCCGGTGCAGCAAGGGCACCGGCTCGGCCCCTCATTCCTCCTCGTCTTCTTCTTCATCATCGTCCTCCTCGTCGGCCTTGTCCGCGGCAGCGCTGGCGGTGGCAGAGGGCACATTGCCCTCGGGAGCTGCGGCGGCAGCAGGACATTCGTCCTTATGCTCTTTCTTCCACTTCATGCGGCGGTTCTGGAACCAGATCTTGATCTGGCGCTCGGTGAGGCAGAGCGCGTGGGCGATTTCAATGCGGCGGCGCCGCGTCAGGTAGCGGTTGAAGTGGAACTCCTTCTCCAGCTCCAGCGTCTGGTAGCGCGTGTAGGTCTGGCGGCCCCGCTTCCTGTCAGGTCCTGAGAACAGACATGCAGACACGTGAACACAGGACAGACAAGCAGATAGGGCACTCGTTAGGCTGCTGTCTCAGAGCCCGCACCTTCCTCCTGGCCTAGTTCCAGGCGGGCATCCCCCTCTGCCCCAGGCCCCGAACAGAGATAGGGGAGGAGGGAGAGTGTTAGGGAAAGACCCCAACTGCAGGGCCAGACGCGCAGGCAGCTCTGTAATGAGCAAAGGCGCAGAAACCCAACTTTACAACGGACCTTTCCAGCCGGCTAAGCGTCCACAATGTCCTGCTTCCCCTGACAAAGGGAAACTGTAAATATAGAGTGTGGGCAAGCGGGAGACGCTGCACTTTTGCCATTCAAAGATGAGCCCGGCTGTTCCCAGGCCTTGCTAGGCAAGTGGGCGACCCTTCCAAACAGCCTGAGCCCTTATCCCCAGGACCTGCCTAGGGCACCCCGACCCTCTGTCTTCATTTCCTCACGCCCATCTTGAAATGGCCCCGGGCACAGGGTCGCATTAGAGGCCATGGAGGGCTTGGCTCTCCCGGCTTTTGAGAAAGAAAAGCCAGGCAGCAAGGAAAAGGAGGTGGAGGGAGGGAGAGAAGAAAGGGATGGAGGGTGACAGAGGAGGGAGAGAGAATAGCGAACAAACTTAACGTTAAAATTCTAAGGCAAATGGAGTTAAATAAATTTACGAGGATCGAACCCATTAATTGGGCCATAAAAAGTTTTATGAGCCTCATTTACATACAATGCTATGGGCTCCAAGCAATGGCGCCTCCGCTCTAATTAAAACCAGAAAGGCTGCGCCGGGAGTCACGGGGCTGCCGGCTTGCAACTGCCTGGATCCGTTCTCCCGGCCCCGCGCTCCGCGCTCCCCAGCGCCGCGCTCCCCGCTCCCGCTCCGCCAGCCCGGCCCGTGTAGCGGCTGCGCCTACCTGAAGACCGCATCCAGGGGTAGATGCGGAAATTGGCCTCGGCCGGGCCGTGCAGCGCGCCCTCGTCCGCCTTGTCGCAGGCGCCTTTGGCGAGGTCACTGCAGAGCCCGGGGATGTTTTGGTCGTAGGAGGCGCAGGGCAGGTTGCCGTAGGCGTCGGCGCCCAGGCCGTAGCCCGACGCAAAGGGGCTCTGATAAAGGGGGCTGTTGACATTGTACAAGCCCGGAACGGTAGAGGCGAAGGCGCCGGCGCCCGCCCCGTAACCGCTTCTCTGTGAGTTGGGCGCAAAGGAGCAAGAAGTCGGCTCGGCATTTTGGAACAGAGAAGCCCCCGCCGTATATTTGCTAAAAAGCGCGTTCACATAATACGAAGAACTCATAATTTTGACCTGTGATTTGTTGTCCGGCAGCTTTCAGTGTCGGTTTTACGAGGTAGCTTGATATATGATAACATTACACCCCCAGATTTACACCAAACCCCATTTTCTTTTGGACGGAGCTCGCCGAAGCACGTGACTGCCCACATGACCGCCTCCGCCAATCTCAGCAGCCCTCACAGGTGGTCTCGCTCCGCGGGGCCCGCGGCCGCCTAGAATGGAAGGGGAAGAGGCTCAAATATGCGGCCCACGAATCCGCCCGCGCTCGGTGGGCCTGGCGCGTTCTGCAGAGAAAGACCCGGAGGCTCGGCGGGGGCGCCCAGCTGGCAGCCAACGCGGGCACTGGGGTCTGCGAACGCCGGGCGGCCCCGGCCCCGCGCAGCCCTGGCCCCGCGCAGCCCCTCACTTCTGCTAGTGAGCCCTAGACCAAGCTTGGGGATCCTCCCCGTCCCTCTCCTGTCCGCTTGCCCGGCCCCTGGTAGGGTCTCTGTCCCAGCGCACCAGACTGCCCCGCGGTGGCCTTGTGGACAGGACTCAGCTATAAGCAGATCGACTCTGCCCGTCTTCCCTCACCCAGGGCCGGTGGGCGACAGGCCGGACTTGGACTCGGATCCGGACAGGGAAGGCGCAGCGTCGCTGGCAGCTGCAGCGAGAATGCCACCGCAAAGTGGAACCATGTGGTTCGAATAAAGTCAACGTCTTCCAGCTTCCTTTACTTAATCGGCGGCACACTGTTTATCCGCCCTAAAGGAAGCAGTGAAATATTTATCTATTAATGAGCCTCATTTGCCAACAGATTTATTAAAGTGGGGTTCCCCTCCCTCCTCCCGGACGCTGTAGTGCTGCAGGCAGTGTGCCTTCGCTCCTGGGCACCTGGCTGGCTCCAAGAGACTAATAAATGGCTAAAGATTCCTTTGTCCTTGCCACAACTTCTAGTCCCCCTCAGGCGCACGGGAGCCAGGGCTGTTTTCCCCAGCTTGGAGAAATCTCAGGCCCGCACCCTTCCAGGCACTCCCAACACTGGAAGGCTTCCAGCAGCCTTCGCCTCATCCACCCTTAGGCCTCCACATCGTGGGCCTGGGTGCCTGGGAACAATACATGCTTTAGAGCCGATTTGGAGAAGGGCTTTTGGCGTCTGGAGACTGCAACCCTCTGTGGACTTCCATTTCTTTTAAAGACACCAAAAACAAATAAGGGGACCACCCCCCAAAGGCCACCCAGCTGTGGAGGCTTCACCTATCCAAGTACCAGCTCACACAGAGCTGAGCGCACAGTGGTCTCAGTCCCTTCCATCCAGGACTCCAATTCCTACCTTTCCAGGCCTCCGACCCCTGCACCGTGTTGGACCAGCTGAAGCCCCTGCTGCCCACGCCACGGCTCGGTGGAGGATGGTGGGGAGAACGCTTTCCCTAAACGCCTCATAAACTGCCTGGGCCGCCCTGGAAGCCCGGCCACCTTTTACTGCCCAGCTCGATTACATACCATAAACCCGACCTCACAATGGAATTGCCCCGGAAATTCTCCTGTAACTTATAGAGTTTAGTTCCTTGTGTACAAAGCACTTCCCATCACTTTCAGAGGGTCCAGGCCGTCCCAATTTACCACACCCTCTCAGGGGGTCCCGGGAACACAAAAGGTGGAGGGATGGTTCAGATCGGGATGCCAGGGAGCCCCAGTTCCTGCGCAGTGAACCACCGGGGCTTGAGTGGGAAGGCGGGGGCTGCTGGGGCAGGTGGGCCCTGGGCTGTCTCCTGCGGGGACACAGAAGCCCTAGGGGGCGGGGGACGATATCCGGAGATGCCCTTTATGGCAGATCAGATGATACCGTGTCTCTGCTGGAGAATAGAGGGAGTAAGACAGAAAGAAAAAACCTAAATAATCCCAATGGCATCGCCTTCTGGAAGGAAATAAAAACCCAAGAAAGTTAAAGGAAGATGAAGCAAACAAGAAGGCTAGGAGATCAAAGAGGCAGAATTAGACCGCTTTAGACCAATAAATTGTTCCTGGGGTGACACAGAGCAAGACGCAAAGAGAAAAGACCAAGGCCCCCGCCGCCGTCGCCGTCTGTCTAGACTCAAGCGGCTGGAGGGGCCGACAGCACTGGTGTTTGAAGTAGAACCTACCCAGTCCAACAGCCAGAGAGGGGAGCGATTTCGGGGATCGTGGGAAGGAACGCACTTCGCCAAGGGAGGGCTGGGCTCCCTCGCCACCAGCTGATCCCTGCCCCGGTTTTGTCCGGCGCGCGTCCAGAAGTTCTGGCAGGACGCACTGCCCCTCTGCCCCGGCCAGGGAGTATCTGGATACCGCCCGCAAGGCTTCGGCCCTTCTGGAACCAAGTCAGCCAACTGGGCCAAGTTCTACGGACACCGAAACCTCCCTTTCGTTTCCAGGTTTCTCTCTCCCTGCACTCTGTGGTCTGATTTAAAACGAAAAGGACGGATAAAATCAGGCTTTCAATAAGGCTTCTTTAATTGCGTGTTCTCTATCCATTGGTTCTCTACTTATTTGACTGAAAAGACACAAATGTACTAGGTTATGTGAGATAATTTTGACAGAAATACTCGTTCACCCTCGGCCTGAAGCAGGCACATGTAGGTGGGTTTCCAATCAGCCGAGCTATCTTTAGATAGACATTTTCCACTGCTCTCCCTGAGCTTCCTTCCTACCTACTGACAGAGTGTGTTCACCCTACTTCTTGTTACCAAATAGTCCAATATTTAAATTAAATTAAGAGGGCAAAGTCAGCTCTAGGCAGCGAATCGCGCCTTCTAGAGATTTGGGTGGTTGGCGAATTGCTTCTCTTAAGGTTTCCACCCGTGCCTCTCTCAGGGACTGCATCTGTTCCCCACCTAGTGAGTGATCCCTGGCCTGGGAGCAAAGACAAACCTATCCCCGAAGGTGCAAATGAGATTGAGTTGGTGCGGGGTCTTGCCTGCGTGAAAGCCTGCTTGGGGAAGCCACTCCCAGGCTTCCCAGAGGAAAAGCAGCCTCCCAGCCACCAGCCTGCCAAGGGCAGGGGAGGCGCCTTTGAACAGTCCATCCAGGCCTGGGAGACCCTGGCGGCCTGCACCTACCTGAGGCCTCCGTGATCAGTGGAGAGACGCGGTCACCACCGATCTGTGACTTCGTTTATTTGTAGTTATACAAATTGAGCTTTCTCTCTGCATCCATAGATCTGCGACTTCACCATTTATTTGTAGTTGCGTAAACAGAGCTATCTACGGCTTGGATACATAGCCACGGTTGACTCCTGGAGAAGCTATAAAACCCTTCTTACAATTAGATGTTGGGAAACTATATACGGAAATTTAATGAAGGCGTGTGTCTGTAATATCGACGTATATATATACATATATGTGAGACAAGAGAGAGACAAAGAGAGAAAGGAGAGAGAGAGAGAGTGTGTGTGTGTGTGTGTGTGTGTGTGTAAGGAGAGAGAGAGAAGAAACACCCCGGAGAGACTTCAGCCAAAATCCAGTCCCCAGTTTTACAGCATGTACAGCACGGAGATGCGGGTCGTAAACATTTTGTGGGTTTGGCGGAGACTATTACGACCCAAATAAATGCACTGTGCCGCGTGTTCAAAGGGCTCCGGGGCGCTTCGAAAGGTTCTCTGTTTGCTTTTGCATTTTCCCTCTGGAACCATTCGACATCCGTGGCTGATGCTCGCACCCGAGGAACCCGCAGCGTGTTCCCTGCCTGGGGTCCGGGAGAGGCTGGGCCTGGATTGGGGTCCCCTCCCTTCTGGCCCCCTGAGCAGGAGACGCAAGAGCAGCCTCGGTTCCTCTACAGCGGAGGACGTGCCGCAGCCAGAGACAGCACGGGCGGCTTCCATGCCGTGAGCGACACTTTTGGTGCTACGGTATGATCGTTATATTAAACATCAAATTAAAAAAATAACTAAAGCAGTTCCTGGTCTGTCTCCCGGGATTCTCCTTCCCAGCCAACTCGGCTCGGCCCCTGGACCTAAGTGGACAGATACCGAGATTGCCGTTACGCCCAATTTTCACCGCCCAATTTTACGGCCTCGATTCAAGCCGGCCGAGTCCCGGGGTCCTGGCTCTGTCTTGGGTTCTGGCTCGCTGGGCCCTGACCCTGGTCGCAGGGTTCGGGGGCGTCGGGGGCGGCCGCGGGACCCGTGGTCACGGAGTGAGCCCTCGTCACGCCCTGTGCACACACTCTGGGGCGGTCGTCAGGTCTGGGGGCTGCAGGCGTTTCTCCAGTGTCCGTCAGTCAGCCGGGGCTCCCCGGCGCCTGGCTGTGTCAGGCCTGTCCCGGCTGAGGACGGTGACCCTGGAGCCGCGCCCGCGCCTGGAGCTGCAGCCTCGCGGCCGCCTGGACAGCTGCAGCCGGGCAGCCTTGGGCCCTCGGGATACGCTCTGGGAGGCGTGAGCGGGGAGGGTCGGGCAAGCCCCCTCCGATTCCTTGTTTCCCAGCGAGCCTTCTAGCCAGGAGTGAGCAGCACTGAAAATATAGGGCGGCTGTTCACTAAAATCTGGGGCTCCCATTCCAGAAAGGCTCGTGTCAAGTCGACATCTTAGGAACTTCCCTAGGGTCGCGGAGGCGGGAGATGGCGGCTCGGAAGCCTCTTGCGTGGAGCCACACTGCCATCTGCTGGCCGCCTTTCGGTACTGCATCCCCAGCTGCCTCGCCGTGCCGGAGCTTTGGGAGCCGCGGGCGAGCCCACAGCACCCCACTCGGAAAGGAGGGGCGCGGGCCTAGTCCCCGGGAAGTCTGCATGGAGCCCGAAATCTACTGCAGAGGAGGCAATGCCAATAAAAGAGCTGTTTCCGCAGCCGCTTTATCGGCGGCAGACAGAACAAATGAACAAATGAAAGGGCTTTGGTGGAATAGCCTAATTGGGGCTGGACAGTTGTAAACTCATTAAGGACCGAATTCCAGACAGTTCGCAGACCCGGCCTTTATGGCACACTCTTACTGCCTATTCTTTGAAGTTCCTTCTGTCTGCAACAACAGAGGGCGTCCCAACCTGGCGGAGGGGTGGGGGTGGGGGTTAGGGGCTGCCGCATCCACCCGCGCCCTGGTTCCCCTTTTAAGCTTAGAACACAGCCAACTTTGCGGCAGTCGTGGCGTGGGGGAGGGGGAAGGAAGAGAGAAGCAAAGCGTGGTAGGGGAAGCGAGGCCGAACCCTCCGGCCACATCTGGAAAGCGCTCAGGCCTCCGAAGTTGTGGCCGTTACCCCCGCAGCCCTTTACACCCCATAAACAGTAACAGCCCTCATTTTCTTTTATGGCGCTTTGGGGCTCTTCAGTTGCCTCAGCCAGCCCTGCCTCTGTTAGGACTTGTGCTCGGGAGGGGCTTGCAGTGCAGGACCCAGATTCTCCTGGGCCAGGCTGGCAGGACGCTGCGGGTGGTGCGCGGTGCAAGGATGCTGGGCTTCGTTCCCTTGCAAGCCCCCAAAATGTTTGCCTGCATGGCCGCGTTGGTCGGGTGGGGCTCCTATTTCCCTCTGCAGAGCCGGCTTAGAAGGCGGCCCCCAACTCTTTATCCTGCCATCCTCTCACCCTTTTCCCCACCAAGCTAAGGAAGGCCCAAGTTTGTGAATTCTCCTGGGGGCACCAAGGTGGAATAGTGGTCTTTCCACCGCTGCTGGCCAGCCCAGCGCAACCCAGCTTCTCAAGGGCTACTCCGCCATCCGGCACATAGACACAAGGCCGGGAGCCAGGCTCCGCCGCCGGGTTTCCCAGCCTTTCTCGCCGCCAGGCAGCTGGCCTGGTTGGGAGAGCTTAGTTCCGCGGACTGGTTGTGGCAGGTCCCGCTCCAGAAAGCAAAACAGAGGCAAAATTGGGGCTTTCTCCCTACCCGAGCCCGCCCCTACCCAGAGACTCTACACAGGCTCCCCTGACCCAGAGAAGAAGGTACAAAGAGCAGACTGGCAGAAAATAGAAAAGAATCAATATATTTTATTTGGCAAAAAGTTAAATATCATCTCAACACAACAATTTGGTCAGTAGGCCTTGAGGTAACTATTGCAAAATATACACTGTAGGTTCAGTCCGGTGAAAACCCCAGATTCATCAAGGATACAAATCTACAGTAGCCCAATGGCGGTTTCATAGTGTATAATTTATTATCAATAAAATTAACTTCGTTACAATCAGCATTCATTTTCTCCGATTAAAATTAAGCAAAAACCCTAGGTAGTAACCTTCTGCACATATGTATAGCTCCGAATTTTGTCACCGCTCATCTGGTGCAAAAACAATATTCAGGCTTGTCTGATTATGCATATTTCCTTTAATCATATAGATTATATATACAATGGACAAGACAGGACTATAGATCATGGAGAGACTAAAATGCTCGCATTTCTAATGTGAAGAAAACGATGAATCTATGTATCCCCGAGAACACTTAAAAATTTTTTTTATTTCACTGGGAAATTCTTACAGCTAGTTTACAATCATAGGTTAACAGCCTAGTTATACAGAAGACATATTCTACTACAGAGCTATACCCTATGCAACTGTTTTTCCCCCTCATAAACAACCTGAGTTCAAATTGAATTCTAGCTTCCACAATCACAACGGGTGCATCACCCAGTACACAGAAGTTTGAGTCACAAAACATAATTACCACAATAAAACACAGTGTTCAAGTATCTTGGCAGAGCAATCTGCCGAACAAACAGCAAATTAAATTAACTACACAGACTAAAAACTATACAGCCCACCATCAACAGTTGTGCATTATAAAAAGGTAGTTTCTTTCCTTTTGTTTTAAGTCAGGAACAGGTAGATTTTTAAAAAATATGTACAACCTAGCACACATAGCTATCAGCACGAATGCCCACCCCCCCCCCCCCTTTTTTTTTTTTTTTTTTTTTGTCTCACAGAAAATGGAAAGCTTACAATACCTCCTCCATCAAAGCGGCAGGCCTAGGAGCCGGCCTGAGCAGGGTTTGCCTGGGGGGGAGATGTTGCCTGAGGTTTAGAGCCGCTTTGTGCGGGACGGTGGAGGCTAGGATGGGGGTGAGAGAAGGGAGAAGGCGGAAGGGGGACGGGCAGTTCTTTCTCTTTCTCTCTAGCTCATTCTTTTTTCTAAATAAACCCAAACGACATCACTCATCACTCGTCTTTTGCTCGGTCCTTGTTGATTTTCTTCATTTTCATCCTGCGGTTCTGGAACCAGATCTTGACCTGCCTCTCGGTGAGATTGAGCAGCCGGGCCACCTCGTACCTGCGGTCCCTGGTGAGGTACATGTTGAACAGAAACTCTTTCTCCAGTTCCAGGGTCTGGTGTTTTGTATAAGGGCAGCGCTTTTTCCGAGTGGAGCGTGCATGAAGCCAGTTGGCCGCTGGGTTATCTGTGGGGAAGAGAGACACTGGGTTTAGGAGGAGGAGAGGCACACCCTGCTGGGGGCAAAGGAGCCTCCTGGGTGGGGTCTCTGGCCTAAGTGCAGAATTCCGCTGAATTCGTTAGGAAAGGCAGTCAGGCCTTGGACACAACGGAACCCTGACAGACGCACAGACGGTCACTTACAATTGCACGCAGTAAAACTTCGGCGCCCCCTCCCCTCCAAGACCCTTTTTCTTACTCCGTCCTCCTGTTCCCCCCTCTCCTTCCTCCCACTCTCCCAACGCTGTATATAATGAAATTTGTAAATAGATTTCCTTCTTGCCAAGCAGAGGGAAAGCATGCTGCCTAGCGCCTTTTGAGAATGGAATTCCTCTCTCCTGCTCACTGGCTTGTCTTCCCTTCCCCACCTTTCCCTCTACACGCCTCACTCCTTATTTGACCTTCCTGGAAGGCCTTGGGAGCTGGGCAAGCCGGCTAGGCTCCCCAAGGCAGTTGATCACGTCTCTGGCTTATTTGAATAATCTGGCATGGGGACCTTTGTGGCCCCGGTCGCCCGCAGCCTCATCTTAGCAGGATTTACGCCGCCACTGGCCGAAGGCAAGAAGTGGAGGGAATCCGCCGTCTTCCCCGGCTCCGGCTGACCTGCTGCCGCCGCTCGCAAATAATCTAGTCGCACAAAAGGCCCTCTCGGCTGCACTGCTTTCGAAGAATGGCCCAAAGTATCTCGGTCCTGCGCAGCCAAGGAGAGGGGCGGCCAGTCTTGGCTCGGCCCGAAGTGCAGTGCCCACCCCGCTCCCTGTCGCTGCAGCAGCCGCCTACTCTCCCGCAGCCCTGCGAGCGGCTCCTCACTGCTCTCCGGACTTGGGGCCTTATCCGAGGCGTCCCAAACACCAATTTCTGGCTCCCGGCCCCAACTAAGGAGGTTCCCAGCGATGACGAAGGCAGGCTTGAGAGAAAGCTGGCGGGCCAGCAGATCCGGGAGGCCGGCGTGGAGGCGGCGGCGGCGGCGGCGGATTTGAAGGGACGAGACACTTACTGGGATCGATGGGGGGCTTGTCTCCGCTGCTCTCATTCTCAGCATTGTTTTCGGAGAAGGCGCCTTCGCTGGGTTGTTTTTCTCTATCAACTGGAGGAGAACCACAAGCATAGTCAGTCAGGGACAAAGTGTGAGTGTCAAGCGTGGGACAGTCACCCCTTCTGGCCGACAGCGGTTCAGGTTTAATGCCATAAGGCCGGCTGGAGGGCAAGCCCGCGAAGGAGAGCGCACCGGGCGTGGGCTCCAGCCAGGAGCGCATGTACCTGCCGTCCGGCGCCGCCGCCACGGGCGCCTGGGGGTGCACGTAGGGGTGGTGGTGGTGGTGGTGGTGGTGGTACACCGCAGCGGGTACAGTGTTGGTGCCCGCCGCATGCACCGGGTTCCACGAGGCGCCGAACACCGCCGCCTTGGACTGGAAGCTGCACGGGCTGAAGTCAGGGTGCTCGGCCAGCGTCGCCGCCTGCCGGGGGTGCTGGCCCAGAGTCCCCGGCGCATAGCGGCCAGCGCTCAGCTCATCAGCAGAGTCGGCGCCCAGCAGGAACGAGTCCACGTAGTAGTTGCCCAGGGCCCCAGTGGTGGCCATCGCCGTGCCCAGCGCCTGGCCGGCCCGGCCCGACCCACGGAAATTATGAAACTGCAGATTTCATGTAACAACTTGGTGGCACCAGGGGGGGAAGTACAGTCACCTAATAAGTTGGCGGCGCCCGCGCCCCCATTGGCCGCGCGTGTCACGTGCCCTCCCGGCAGAACAATAACGCGTAAATCACTCCGCACGCTATTAATGGCCCGGTGTTTTGCAGTCATAATTTTTATAGCAAAAGCCATATGTTTTTATGCAAAGGGATCGTGCCGCTCTACGATCGGGTTTGTTTTAATTGTGGCCAACGAAGATTAAAAGATCAAATGGCCTTGCCTCTGTATTCTCCCCTGCCCCCCCACCCCATGCACACACTTCTTAAGCGGACTATTTTATATCACAATTAATCACGCCATCAGGAAGGCGCGGGTCCCGCGTGCTAGTGCGGCCAGCGGAGCCCCTCACATAAAATTAGACAATAATTGAAGCCATAAAAAACCAGCCAAATCGCATTCTCGCTCTACTGTATTTAAATCTATATTTATGATATTTCATAAGGAGTTATTGTTTCAGAAGCCACACAGGCTGGCGGGAAGTCGGGAACGACCAACAGATTCTTTTGCCTCGCCGTGGCTCCGAGCTGTAAAAATTTACGAGGACTTGGAAAGGTTAAATTAGACTGTTGTGTTTGGTTGACGAGCTCCCTGTAAATAATCCCTGCGGTGTCCGGGAGAGGTGAGTTTAGCCTGGCCTCAAAAAGTCAAATTCAACGCAGTATCTGTCCCAAATTGAACCGCCGCCTGCCCTGCCAGGGCACTCCAGGCAGGAACCGACATCCAGGGAGCACCGCCGGTGTAGCTCCCCACCGGCTACCCGCCTGGAGCGACGCTCGCCCGGGCAGCCCTTAAATTCGCCTTTGCTCCTCCTGTGAGGACCCCACTGAGGAGCTGGCCGGAGGATAGCGGCAAGAGGCCCCAAGGCGAAGGGTTTGAGAGGCTGGTTTGTTGTGGGGCGCGCTCGGCCGGGGTTCTCAACTCCGAGCACACGCGCTCCCAGCCTGCCCTTTTTATCAGCTGGGAATCAGAATTCCCAGGGGCAGAAGGCTGGCCACCCAGCCCTGTTCTCCACCTAGAGGCCCTAACCCTGAGGGCTGCAAGCCTGGTCGCGCTTCCTGAACCCCAGCTGGGAAAAGGATGGCACAACATCACGAAGATCACCCATTTATAATAACATTGTATCCATACATTTGAGAAGTTTAGATATCATTAAATAAGGCCGAAAAAAAAAAAAAAAAGACAAAACAACAACAAAAACTCAGCAAGTGACATCAATGGAAGGCCAGTTCGGCTTCGGAAAAGGCAGCCCCGCCTAAGAGAGGTGGCTGGGAAGCCGCACAGTTGTGGCCTGTCTGCGGCCCTGTGAGCCTTTCAGGGCTCCTTCCTGCCTCCCTTTCCGGCCACTACTCCTGGCCTCGCCTTGGTTACCTACGGGACCTGGCGACTCCGTGGAGAGGTACAAGATCCAAAGAGGGGTAGCCACAGCTCAAGGCCAGGGCTGGAAATTAGAGCGAGGAAGGGCACAAGGGCATCGACTCTAGTCCCATTCCTCGGCCTGGCCACATTGGGGAAGTTTATTTCTCACCCGTTAGGGGTAAATTAAAAGGTAGTAGCCACTCCGTTAATTGGAAGGATCCCCCCCAACTCCTAACAGAAAGCAGCGACTCCTAGAAAAGGAGTAATCAAATTCACGTGTGGATCCTGTGCTGCAACAGTGTGTTTCTCATTAGCCCACTTCCCTGGCGGTGAGGCTGGCGGCCTCCGGCTCTTCCATCTCTCTCTCTCTCTCTCTCTCTTTCTCTTTGGCCTTCATCCTCACTGGCAGTTCCAGTAATCCCCCCCTCAAACACCCTGACACACTACCCGCTGGGACTCCCAAATACCAGACTTTCCGGGATCGAAGCTGTGATGCGGCGCAGATACTGACTGGGTCCGCCTTCCTGCACCCGCACCGGGAAGAGGGAAGTGGACTACACAGTGAACTCCAACGAGGCCCGTCCCGTCCGCCTCATCTCCCTCCCCGTAATATTTTCCTTGCCCCGTAAATTCCTCTGCGTCATGCCCACCCCAACCACAGTTCACCTTGTCCTAAATATCCCCGCAGTCCCCCAAGCCTCTGAGAGTTTCATTTAAAAGATTAACCCTGGAGAAAACCCTTGCTCCTAATTTTAAGTGTCTGCAAATGGGCTGGGCATGTCTGGATGCCTTTTCCACTTTTCATAGCAGAAAAGACATCGATTATTATTAGTATTTTTAAAGTAAAAAAGCTATTCCTTTAAATAGCCTTGGCCCCAAAATAAAAGGATTACTAAATAATTAGCAGGCATTGAGTGCTAACCAGATGTTACTGGTTCGTAGAAAGGGGAGAAAAAACACAAAACCAAATATTGCCTCCTTTCAGCCCAAAGGTTTGGAGCCAGACATTCAGACTTTTGTGTCTGCTTTTATTTTAGGGTGAAAGAGATTGCATATACATAAATAATAAATGAGCATAATTTAAAACACCCCTTCTCAACTGAGATTTCTAAAACTGTGATCTCTGAAGTAAATCCAATACCCTGTGGAGAAAATGCAGTGAGGAGTTGAAGGGAATGGGGCACACAGGCCTCTCAGACAGCAGGTCGCTGGCTGTACAACGAAACAGTTCCTGGGCCTCCAGTCCAGGCAGGGAAGGGAAACAGCTCTGTGGGCAGCAATCTGTAAGTGTGTGTGTTAGAGGTAGGGAGGGATGGCTTGTTTTCTGTTTTCCATAGTGAAAATGGTCAGACTGGCTCCCATCCATAGACTGCAAGTTGGAACCAGGACTCAGTTTATATCAGTGGTTCTGGAATTTGGGATTTCTTCTGCCCATTTGAAACATACTGGCTCTTGGAAGGGTCCCTTTCTCCAGCATCCAGCTGCACAAAGGTGCTGTATGAAACATATTGTGTACCTGATAGAAGCCACTAGCAAGCAAGCAGTCACGCTTTGCCCTAACCAGTCTCAATGCGGTCAAAGCCCAAGCTGTGACCGGCGGGCCAGGAAAAGCTGGCTAAGAGCCTCCCAGCAAAGGTCTGGTCACTGGAGTGGCCAGGCTCCAGTGAGGCTGGTTGGGCCTCAGCTCCAGTCCCCAGTGAGGCTGGTAAAGGCCTCCCTGCCCTCCATGTGGGCACACAAAGATGCAGAGAATGCCCCCTAATCAGATCTCCTAGGCAGCCGTTAGCGACAGGCTGAGAAGAAAACCAAGGCCGCCGCCATCCGGTCGTGATCGTAACCAAGGCCTTGTCTGCGCAGCAGCACACCAGGCCCAAACCCACGGGCCTCAGCAGCCACCCTACGCGAGCCATTCCTCGACAAACGTCCCAACCTCTACTTGAGTTGCAGAGAAAAGTGAGAGAGTCTCTAGCCTCTCCTGAAGTCAGCCCTGGGCTCCTCCCCAAGGATGCTTTGGGAAGGAGATAAGGAGGTGAAAAAAAATCTGACAGAGATAGAAGATGGAAAAAAAAAAAAAAAAAAAAAAGGAAGAAAAGAAAGCAGGAAGGAGCAAAGGAAAGAAAAGAAAAAAGAAGGGATAAAAGAGGAAGGCTGGAGGGCGAAAAGAAAGAAGAAAAGAGGGCCAATTCCTAGCAGAGGCCAGGCTTACAGAGAAAAGGGTAAGTGACAAGGCCAGGATCCCAGCCTCTGCCTGTCCTATCCTTCCTAGTCTCTCTTAGGAAAGAAACTTCACTGGCAGAAGTTTCTTTCCTAAGCCCACACCCGGAACTGGGATGTCTGTATGTGTGTTCCAGCCTTGCAAGAGAATGGCAGGAGGTCCCTGGGCAGGCGCACGCCTTGAGTGGGGGAGGCTCAGGATGGAAGCGCGCCCCTGACCTTGAATGGCCCAAGGCCCAGAATTCCTACCACGCCCCTGGCGTCCGAGAAGAAGCAGCTAACCTGACCTTACCTGCAGTGAGCCAGGTGGAGGTGTGGTGGAAGGGGAAAGCCGGCCTTCTGGCACAGCACGGAGAAAGACCCGAGGCTCCTGCGCAGGGAAAGCCGAGGTTGCCACCGCAGGCCTGGCACGACTAGGGCCGTGATGCCCCGCCCGGCCCGACCCCCCGCGCGCACAGGTACCTGGAGACGATTTCAACTGAAGTAATGAAGGCAGTGTCGTGCTGTCGAGAGAAAGGTGGATCCCAACAACAGGAAACTACCTAAATCACCGACCAGTTCTGGTGCTGCCTGCGAGCAGGGCTGCCTCGCCCGCCGCCGCCGCCGCTGCCGCCGCCGCCGCTGCCGCTGCCACCACCGCCGCCACCACCGCCGCCAAGGAGAGAACCCTGCGATCGCGCCCGGCCCAGTCCAGCCCCTAGACAACCTGAACCCGGCGCCTTGACGGAGTGCCCCAGGCGGCCGCAAATGCGTCACAGGGGAAGCCTCAGGCCCCAGTAAGGTATGCCTGGGAAGGAGAGGGAGGGAAAGAAAGGGAAGAAAGGCAGGAGGAGAGGAATAAAGGCGGGGAGCAGGCGAGACGAGAGCTGCTCTGAAGAGCAATGTGCGCTCTGCTTTCCCAAATCTTGCCGCCCAGCGAGCCGGCGCCGAGAGGCGGCAGCTGTGGAAGACTCGAAAGCGCCAGGGACTGTACGGAGCCCGGCTCCCTGTCTGGCCGCGGCCTCCCACCGCTCGCTCTCCCCCTCCTCCCTCCTAGTTGCCCGCCCGCTGGGGCGCGCGCTCCCGCGCCCCCTCCCCCTAACGCCCCCCCCCCCAACTCTGGCAAGCAGGAAACGCGTGGCCCTACCGAGGGCCGCCAGGTGGGGGAGGCCGTGCTGGGGGAGGGGGCGGCCCCCGTGCAGCCCAGCCGGGTCCACCTAACTGCTGCCCCCAGCGCTAGGGATGCACTGTGGGCCAGGCCTCCTCCACGATTCAGATTGAGGGTCATCTGAGACCCAGACACCCGCAAAATAACCGGCCTCTGCCAGCCTCCCTGGGGCTCCCGAAAGAAATCCTGTTTGGCTTCCTCTGTCTATGCAGCTCCCCTCTCAACTGAAATCACTGGTCCAAGACAGCCACAATCCAGATATACTAGCAAGTCATAAAACTGAACAAAAGCCGACAAACCTTACGGCACCAGGGCTATAGGGCCCAGACAAATTACGACCGTCTAGGTAATATTTAAATAGATGCCTCAAGTAATTGCAGGGGGCTCGGTTAGTCCTCCTGTTGTAAAAGTGGTGAACGGGATAAAGTGGAAGGTGAAGATAAGAAGTCAAAAAAGAGGTAAAATTAAAAAGCTTCATTCCACAGCTTTTATTCTATAAGAACATAAACATCGTCTTTTTCCACGCACAGCAGCAATACAATATTAATTTATTCTGATTTAAGATTAGAAGTAAATAGAGCTAGAACTAACATTTATAATAACGATAGAATGCATTTGCTTAAAACAAGATTGGTAATTCTTCATAATAATAGACATTTATACAGATTTGTATTTATAGTTTTTTCTTTTTCTGCATCTACAGGTTTGACCCTTTTATGCATGTAACTTCACAGTATAAAGGAAATCTAAACAATGTCTCCCTTCTCTAGTTTATTCCGCTTACCCCAGTCCTCCTAGGCTTCTGTGAGTTTCAGAAAGCAAAAATGGAAAAAAAAAACTTTTCGTTCAAGGTGATTTAAAAAAGCAACTTCACAAGATAGGGAGAATTGTGGTGTGCTTGTCGCATGTTACCAGTGGTAACTATTTTAATGACAAAAAAAAATCCACTAATTCCACATGTATAAACAAAACTATATTATCTATCTACAGCCAGAAGGATATGGAAATTTAGAGGTAAATGAAACATTTTAGTCAGGAAATGTAAGACCTTACAGAAACTGGAAGAGAAGTCCCCTTCTCTTGGTAATTTTTTTTTTCTTTTTAAAGCTGGGATATCTTACAGAGGAAGGAAAAAAAATAATCTTTCTGACTTTCTTTCTCACTTTTTAAATCAGCCAACGTCAAGCCCGTTTGCCAACCTACATGTCCATGCCTGCAAGCCCTTCTCTTGGCCAAGGAAGAAAGGAAGAAAGAAAAAAGAAACGCAGGGGCCTGTATCCCCTGATTAAGCACAGCGTAGCACTCCAGGCAGACGTGCCCAGTGGCGGCTCCTTGCACCATTGACCTCAGGCCAGACACCTCAGCGCCAACAATGGGACCTCGGCCTTCCGGCTAGGTTTGCCCCAGGCTGGGCAGGAAACCAGCTCGCCGAGGACAGGGGCCATTTCCAGCAGAGTGGGACCCCAAGACAGCAAACCAGCCCAGTCACGACTTGACACTTAGGACAATATCTATCTCTATAGAATTTTAGCACGATATGGCTTTTTCCCCCAGAAAACAACAAATAAACCAGCACCAAGCAAACACAAAGAAACAAAAAGTCAGAACAAACCAGCCCTGCACAGATGTAACGGCCCAGGAGACGGCGAGAGTGGGAGGGAGGAACAGGGCTCCAACACAGGTGCGGGTTCCTGGGCAGAGGCTGAAGACAGAGGGAGGGGACCAGCGCTCGGGAAGTGGAAAACCCGCGTCGTCTGGAGCTTCATCAGGAAAAATTAAAGTTGGCTGTGAGCTCCCGGATCCGGTTTTCTCGATTCATTTTCTTCAGTTTCATCCTGCGGTTCTGAAACCAGATTTTCACTTGTCTGTCCGTGAGGTGGACGCTGCGGCTAATCTCTAGGCGCCGCTCTCGAGTAAGGTACATGTTGAACAGAAACTCCTTCTCCAGCTCCAGTGTCTGGTGCTTCGTGTAGGGGCAGCGCTTCTTCCGACCACTCTTTGCTGTGAGCCAGTTGGCTGCGTTTTCACCTTTGGAATTGCCTGGCGTGTAAGAGAATAAAGAGGGGAAGATTAGGTCGAGGCCACACGGACTGGCTGCCGGGGTGAATTACCTCCATTTCTCCCATAAGAGAGATGTCCCAAGTCACAGAGAAGAGAGTTGTGCCCCCCGTTTTGGCTTGCTGAGAGCAAGCAGTTCCTCCAGAAATCGAGTGGGCCTTCAATCTACACCACGCTTCCAATTTACATTTTCCCCACTTTCCCAAACACCTGTTTTAGCACTAAGCCGTAGGTGCTTGCAGAAGGAAAGGCCTGGGAGGGCAGGCTGTACATCTTGAACTTAACGCTTTTCTTTGCTTCTTGCCATATGGCAGACTAACATTTCCTGTAGCCCCCAGGCTAGGAGCACGGGGTGCTTACTTGGGAGGTGGACCGGGCAGCTTGGCTGTCTCACCCGAGGGCTCTGATTGCCCAAGACTTGATAAGAGGAGACAGAAGAGCATCCTTGGTCCAATGAGGAAGGCACGAAAAACGATTGGGGGTCAAGGGCCCTCCCTCAAGTCTCTCCAGGAGCCAGGGGTAGGTAGCTGGGCGATTCCGAGTTCCAGAGGAAGCGAAATGGCCCTTCTCTGGCTCTCAGCTCAGGGTCCCCAGCTTCCAGCCCGGATTTGCCTTTTCTTCTCCCCGCAACGAAGATTCCCGCCCCTCAGCAACTTTGAAAAAAGCATGGGGGATCGTAAACTCGAACTTCGCCGGTTAATGGGCTTATTTATTGGCGCTGGCGGCTGCTTATTTTGGATGCCTTACAAACATCCGTGCTATCTGCGGGCGAGCTACTTTCCCTCCCTCCCCCCACCCCCCCGCGTGGGCCGCGCCGCGCAGGCTGGGCAGAGACCAGGGCTTGGGGTGCTCCCGGCCACAGGGAAGAACGCACAGGAGGGGGCCTGCTCTCTGGTGTCCTCGCCCCAAGTTAGGGGGAGCTGCGGCCAGCGCCGAGGACGTCTTGCTGTGGGGCGCTAAGCCGGACATGAATTTTACTGCGTCCCCACGCCCAAATATTAAAAAGCAAGTTCACAAGGTCAGCCTGCTGCAGCTTGGGCCAAGGCCGGCCGGCTGCCGCGCGGGCTCCTAGTTCTCTGATTCTTTTCCCTGCGTCTGCCTGTGTGCCCGCCTGACTGCAGCCTTCTGTAGCCCTGCTTACCCAGGGAGTCCTTCTCCGGCGAGGCTTTGCTGCTCTCGGAAGGGGCCGGGGAGAGCTCCTCCGCCGCCGAGGACGACGCGTGCGCCTCCTCGTCGCCCTGCGAGCCCCCGCCGCCGCCGCAAGCCAGAGAAGGAGGCGGCGGCGAATCGAGGGCTCGCTCCTTCCGGGCCGCATCGGCCGAGCCGGAGGCTAGCGCGGGCGGCGGATCGAAGCCGCGCCCGGGGGGCTGCGCGGGGAACGGGCCCGCCCCGAGCTGCTGCGCGCCGCCGCCGCCGCTGCCATAGCCCTTGGCCGTGCCGTAGGCCTGTGAGAGGCGGAAGTAGCCAGGCACTGGCACCCCGCTGGAGGCACCCAAGGCGCAGCCGTCGGGCGGCGGGCCCCGCGGGAAGGGACCCAGTTCGGCAGCGGTGGCCGAGCCTTTGGGACATTTGTCCGCGGAGTCGTAGAGGCAGTAGGAGCTCTCTTCTTTGATGTTCTGCGTGAAAGAGCACGAGGTGGCCTGCGGCGGGGGCTGAGGTGGTTGCGGCGGGGGCGGTGGCTGCTGCTGGGGCTGCGGCTGCGGCCCTTCGGGTGGCTCCATCCGGCAAGACCGGGGCGCGTCTAGCCACAGGTCTATGGGCGCGGGCCCATAGCCGTGCGCCCCAGAACCTAGACCCCCGCCACCACCACCGCCGCCCGGCGACGCCGCCTCATTGCGCTTGCCGCCCAGCGTGGGGAAGAGCCCACAGCTCTGCAGCCCGTAGGGCAGGTCGGCGGCAGGCGGCAGGTAGACCCCTCCGTGGGCGTAGTAACCGCCACCGCCGCCGCCCCCCGCGCCACCGCCACCGCTGCCTGCCTCGCCTCTGCCCGAGCTGATGAGCGAGTCGACCAAAAAAGAGTTCGCGGCGGGGCTCTCCGAGCATGACATTGTTGTGGGATAATTTGGCGAAGGGAGCAGATAGCCCTTTCTGGCTGACATTTCTTGTGCAAAACATGCTGAATACGATTAGCAATCCCCCCGCACCGCGGCGGGCGCCCGCAGCCAATCCCGAGCCAGAGTTTCCGCGCGACCACTCCCAGTTTGGTTTCGTAGGCTCGAGGCCGCTCTCCGAGGGCGCCCTCGGAGCCCGCGATTGATATAAATATGTAATCTGTATTGATGGGCCAGGAGACGCACCCCCGACACCTCAGCCCGAAGGCCAGGAGCTGTGGGGGCTGCCCCAACGTGGCTGGTGGGGGACCTGGCCACTGGGCTCACTCCGCCCCTACCCGGACGTAAGCCCCATACCCGCGTCCGTTTGAAGCCTCTTGGGCCCCGCGCAGTTAACAAGTGGGGTGTTTATGGTGCACATCCAGTCCACCTTGGGTGCTCACCATCCCTGTCACAGAAGCTGCCACTAGTCCCCGGTGTGCTCTGACCACTGAAGGGGACATGTCCCGGACTCACACGCTTCCCATTCAGTTCTGGACCTGGAGCTGGCCCCTTGTCTGAATTCTGGCTCCCCAAAAGTGGCAAACCTGGCGCCACGGCTGTCAGGCTCCTCAGAGTGTCGGGAGCCCAGAGTGACTTGCCTCTAATTTCAGCATCCTACAGATTTTCCCCAAAATTCAATGGCTGTTCCCTGGCCCCTAACCCCCAGCACTTCTCTCCCTCAGTCCGTTGATCCAGTTAGGATCTTCTCCTCCGGTGCTGTGCTCACCTGGCACGCCTTCTCTACAACTCCTGTCAGCGGACTTTGGTGGGCTGGCTGGAGTAGGGGTGGGAAGCAGAAGACGCCCCTACTCCCACTCTCAAGGCCAGAGCTAGGTCCAAGCATCCCCTCATCACCCAGAGAAGACTCTAAGCCAACAGTCATTTCGGGAAGTAAAATGGTGGCCCTGGGATCCTTGGCTGGCCCAAGGGGGAGACTTGGAAGGGTGTACACGGTGTCACCTCTGCTGCCTTATGCTCCTGCTCTCCTGTTAGCTTTGGCACTTATATGCTCCTGGAGGCTACAACAAGAAGCAATGTCACTACACTCCTGCCTCTCTGTCCCCTCCCCTCTCCCCCTCCCTCCCATACCCTCCGCTAGGGCAGTCCTAACTCCTGCAATGTGTGCATTTTAACGAGGCCCCGGTGAGGAAATCCGTTCCCTGCTAGGCCGGGCTGGGCTTCTGGCCCTGTTATAAGAGCATGTGGAGGCCAGGCCCTTTGCTCAGCAGACTCAGGGGCGCTGTTTTAGCCAGCTGGAAATGGCCGGCCTGGGGTGCTAGCCCCCAAGTGTGACCCTCGTACTAGTCTCAGGAAATGGAACGTTTTCCGGCCAGATCCAATGGAGCCCGGGAGGTCTCTGCTTTGTCCCTGGCCTGTGGGCTACAGGTCTCCAAGATACCTCAGGCCTGTCTGCCCCTCCGGCTACAGCTGGAGCTGGCATTGCTGAACGCCGGCATCCCAGAAAATAGACCGCTCAGGCCGCTGCCTGAGGCTGGGAAAGACTCCTGCATCCCGGTCATATGTGCGGCACTTTGCCTCCTTCCTCCCAGTGTGAACGCAGCCCTGGCTTCTGGAGGAAGAGGAACCTGAGAGGACCCTGAAAGGGCACGAGAGAGCTGGCTAGGTAGAGCTCCAGCTCTGGCTTCTGAGATTCCAGAAGCTGCGGTCGCTGCGGACCATGGCGGCTCCGAGCTCCCGGCCCAGAAGGCCGCTCCACCGCTAGCGCGGCGCTCCAGCCACTTCCACCTCGGCGCCCCACGGTGACCCGGCCCTGAGGACTGAGCATCAGGGTGCCCAGGAGGAGGATGGAGAGAAAAATAGAGAGATAGAAGGAGAGACGGACAGAAGGAGAGAAAAGAGAGAAACAGGAGGGGAGAGAGCACAAGAGACCCAGCTCTTTCCAGCCTGAAAGGGTTTTTAAGCTGCAGCAGCTGCTTAGAGGAGTCAAGACGGGGTCTGTGCCCTGAGATCATTAACTCTCCTTTGCTCTTCGCATGCTCCTGAGCCCAAAGCCAAGGCAAATTCTTTTCCTGCTATGCTCATGAGGCGGACGAACCTGAGTGCAGAAAAGCTTCAGAGCACCGCAGCCAATGAACCTATATTTAGCTTCCCGGATCTGCCTGGTCCTTACCCTGCTCACCAGAGGGGTGGAACTGGCTGGGACTGTTGCCCTTAACAATGCCACTTGGAAATGCCACAGGCTGGGGACTGCCTAGGAAGGAAGCTTTGCTCTTCAGCACTACCCATGCCTCTAAGAAAAGCTGTGTCATTTGGGAAGTAGGTCCCAAGAGCATAGAGGTTTCCTCTCAAAAAATGAGCCATATCAGGTTAGTGGGCCAGGACTTGGGCCTAGAACCATTCCTCTCCAGGCTAAATGCAGAAAGCAACTTCCTCCAGGAAGTTCTGGGAAAGTCCAGTATATGTTTGAGATTGTGGAGACCAC